ACAATTGCATTTGCTGCTGTTCAAAATATTTGCTCTTCCCCCAAGTGCTCAGAGCAACCAGTATTGGGCAATACTGCTTTGGGGTGACTGGCCATCTAAGCCATCTTGTGAGATTGATTGTAAATTAGGGAGACAGAAATGTATTTTGGTTGGGACAGTTTTCTAAATACCACAGCTGTCACCCCAGAAGTAGGTTACACAGACTTCCAAGTTGTCAAAGCTGTGTAGAAGTAAGACAAGTTCATACTACATTGATAGAAGACATTTGACTGCATTCACAGTAATAAACTCAAAAGGGTAAAAGTTAATGGAACAAAAATAGAATCTAATTTTTATCTCCCCCCTACAAATCTATTAAGTACCTTCCAATCTATGAATTAGCCAGTCAGGTGCTCATTTAAAGTGCAAATACCATCAACCCATTTTAGATGGGTCTTTGTAATTTGTAGAACGAGCTTATATTTCTTCTAGAATCAGGGTATCTGTGAAAGTTAAACAGCTTGTGTTATCTTTAGAATACAGAATTCACATGGAGCTTGTCTGCAGTGATCTTTTGACTTTCATTCCCAGCTACTCCCAGTACACGTACATTTATGAGCTGCATCAAAAGAAGCATCGCCACATGCTTTCTTTCTACACCCTGGAAAGAAAAACAATTACATTACTTGGCCAAGGCAGCCAGGCAGACACCTTGTTTGTCCCACCAAATGTGCAAGGCACCAACTTGTGTTTCCCAAAAGGCTGAGGTAATGGTATGTCATCTCCTAACAAACACTGCTCCTTTGAGCAAGTTCTGAACCTGGGATACTAACCAGACTAACCAGGTCAATGTTCTTGCTACTTTTAAATCTCCTCATGTGACTTTTTACTGGTAGAAGAAATGTGTATGTGACAGAAGAGAAACTGAATGATTTCCCCCAACTTACGTAGTATTGAAATATGGACCCAAATTTTTCTAGCAGTGCTAAAGACTTAAAATTGGGTTGGGTTTTTTTTAAATTTGATAATTTGATTTTTTGGGTTTGTTTTTTTTTTTTTATTGAATGTATATTTCAAAGGAGATTTGTCAGAATGGTCAGATGCAAATATTTTGAGGTATTTCCTAAGCCAGTGTAAGTATTGCCAGGGGTCCCTGATGAAGGCTGATTGTGAAGCAGAATGAGTGAGCGCTGGACCTCTGCAATGTGATGCTGAGGTAGGTCCAAAAACTCACCAGAGGTGAAAACACACTTCTTGCTGTGATACACCTATTCCTTTAAGCCTGTCCCACTTAAAGTCTCTCTTCTTAGACTTAACTGAGGCGGGGGATAAAATCACTGTGATGGAGTCCCGTATTATCAGCATGTTTCTAACCCAGCTCTGCTTGATGTGTAGAGCTGGCTGCTGGGTACAGCTGGGCATTGTCACCATGGGCAGGAGGAACCAGGGCTGGCTCTGGGTACAGCTGGGCATTGTCACCATGGGCAGGAGGAACCAGGGCTGGCTCTGGGTACAGCTGGGCATTGTCACCATGGGGAGCAGCCCATGGCTCTCACGCACAGCCAGCAGAGAGTGGGAGAGCCTGGGGCTGCAGGGACACGTGGTAGCCCCTGGCTGGTGGCCAGTCTGCCTTCCTGTGGCACAGCAGAGGTGTCCAGGCAGGAGGCAAAGTGAAACCATCTGGCCCAGGAGCTTTCTCCTCTTTAGTGCTTTTACATGCCAGGATGAGTTTGTGCGCTCGGCTGCAGTAACTTGCAGCGATGGGAGGGAAATCCTGAGGTAAAGTGGTTGTGATAAGGGGCTGGTCTGAGCTGCGTGGGCTTTGGCACAACCCAAACCCCCTCTTGGTCTGCGTGCTGCTGCCTGGGGCACAATTCACCTAGGATGACTGCCTGAGTTCCCAGAAGCTGCTGGGCTTGAGCAGCCTGCCAGCAACTTGCTGACTTTTTGCCCCATTCCAGAAGCTCTGTTTCAGCCCAGCTAGGCTGAGCCCAGCCTGAGCTGAATGCAGCTTCTTCAACCTGGATTTTCAGTCTACTACCAGAAAAAAACACAAGGCAATAGAACAGTGACAGGAGACAATTAGCCTCTTCCTTCTTTCTCATAACGCTTTCTACATGCTCACTGCTTTGGGAAGATACAGGAAAAATAAGTAACATTTTTCCCCCATACAGGCCTTGGACACCTCCCAAAGTCTCACTCTGCAAGATACTCAAGATCTATTTGTTTCAAAGATCAGGTCCACGTCTCTCTGCAGAGATACTTTGAACTGGGGATCTGACAAAAATGAGGGTTTAAATGCCTCATCAGGTGAGTTGCTGTGCCTAGAATTAAAGATGTGATCAGAAATAATTTTATTAAACAGTAAAATGTATTTACAGAAGTAACTGGCTTCAAGGTCAGATGAGGCTGGACTGGTGGTGCCTCAGTCACTCGTGTTCTGCTTCACCTCTAAGTGATTTCACTTAACTGGGCAATTGCTCCCTAAGCCCCTGGTGACGCTCAGATTTCGGTCCTGAACCTTCTCCAGGCTTCTGCAGGACAAAAGCTGGAACAGATTCTTCAGTATCAAACTTCTCATGGTTTTAAATGAACCAGATGAACCTATTTCTGTTGTACAACAGTCTCTGGTAATTTCCATTATTTATGAACACATTTCCCCGAAAACTTTCTCTCCAGGGATAGGATGTGAAATGCCTACTTAAACAATAGAGAAAAGGGACTTTCTAAACAAAATAATGAAACTGGCAATATACCAAGAACTCTACAGTAACACAGACAAAAATACTTCTAAAGTGCTTTAAAGGTCATTTTTATTCTGTTTTTATTACATAGGTGATGTATTTTTCAGACAAAAATTGGTTGTTTTTTTTTCTTTTACAGCACTGAGCTCTTTTTATTGCAAAATACCATTTTCACATATGATGCTTTTTTCAAAAATAGCATAGAGGCTTTTTTTTTTTTTTTTTTGTCTTTGAAAGTCACGTAGTATTGTAATTAGTAATATAGTATTTTGTAATGAGAAATGAAGATAAACTCATGACTTTTGAAAAAGGTGCAGAATTCTTACAGGCTTTCTAAACCCAGACAGCTTTACCAGAAGGTATCTCCAGTCAGGCAAGTGCAGAAATGAAGCACTCACTGTTAGAACCATCCTCTCCAGAGTGACTTCAGGAAAGTGAATCTGAAAGTGCCACTGAATAATGCTCATTAAAATTCCAGGCCCAGTTTCATTCTCATTTATATTTTGGGAAACTAAATTAAATACAAAACATTAAAGCAATTTCTCCTTTGTAGAAAAGGTACCATCCCCTACCACCCTTTTTCCTCGAAGAACAGGCTTGGCACGTAACTATATATTTACTAAAGAATCCAAGACAGAAGAGCAGTTTAGGTTCCAAAAGTAACCACTTTAATTTCCTCATTCTTCAAAGCTTTTTATGCATGTGAGCCTTACCGTGGGCTTATACAGAAAAAAAAAAAAAAAAAAGTCTTGCCCACCAGAATACCCCTCACCGTTAAGATTTTTAACTGCTGATGTCATTAGGATGACTCACAAGTTTTAAATGCAGATCTATGCTTAACGACTTTGCTAATTGTGGGCCAAATTCCCTAATGCTTTGCAGGACTGAGCCAATGTTACAGAAAGAATAGGTTAGTGAGGTTTCTGCCAGATAAGAGTTGGAATATTTTGTCAGGTTGCTCAGCATGGTTGCATACAAGCAGCATTTATTCAGCTTATGCAACAAATGAGACAAGAAGATCTGTTTGTGCTTTTTGAGGCAAAAATACATATATATTGTTGAATTTTGAACTTTGAAGTGGAAGGGTATAACAGCAAATGCATGTAATCAGTCTGCACAATGCAATGCAGAAATGCTGTTTAATCTTTGGAATAAAGAGCCCAGGATGTTCACAAAGATCTTCTATCAACTGGTGAACGGAAGATGAAAGGGATCATCAAGCATCAAGTGGCAAGCATCAAGTTTTCTAGCTTGGATAGCACATTCAGAAAACAAAATATGTCATTGACCACAAAAAAAAAAAAGTTTTGACAACAGACCTTGCAAAGATTTGCCGTGAGTTGCAAAAGGAGAAAATCTCAATTCTGTGTCTGACAGAAATATAATCTAACATTGTATATAACTTTGTAGAGAAACATTTAAACAAAAGATTCTGCAGGAGAAATAAAAAGGTCAGTGTTTATCCTTAAAATTAAAATATGAAAACTAAAGTAAATGTTCAGAACACTCACTCTTGCTAGAAAGTGTTACAGAAACCACCCCAGACAGATCACAGCAGACATAAATGGTTTTAAAGGAAGCACAGTAAACCCTTATGAAATTGCATAGAGACTGAAATAATGAGACAATCTGTATAGACAGATGATTAGTTCAGAAATGGAAGTTGCAAGAAGGGTAAAGTAACAATAACTTCTACCACTCTATATTGGAGAAGGAGATCCTTCCAACGGCTTCTGGCTAGAAAGGGAATGGCCAAATTCTGACCCCTGTGAATATGAGGGAGGCCCAGAACAACGACCCGTGGGGCTGCCCACTGGACCTCAGACTGCTGGAGTCAAAATCAGATTTTGGCAGTAAAACAAGAGTTTCTGATGACACAGCAACACCCAGCTTTCTTGGGCTTTTTAAAAGCTGTTCCAGACAGAAAAAAAAAAAAAGTACAGCAGTCAGGCAGTCAGTAATTCATTAGAAGATGGCAAAACATGACTGAGAAACAGAGCTAAGGAGTAAAACTTTATGAGCAGAGAGGTTTTTGCTGACAGTACAGGTGGAGATAGGTAGGGTAGCGCAGGCTGTGGCAGATAAGAGCGCGCACAGCCCGAGGTGCGAGGCCATGGCCGCGCCGGGGCCGGTGCCGAACGGCTTCGGGAGCAAACACCGAAACACCGCGGGGAGCGGGCAGCGAGGGCAGGACGGGCTGTTCCCGTACTCACGGCGACTCCGGGGCCGGCCGTCACCGCAGCCGTCGCTGCAGCCCCAGAGACGCTCCGGGGGCTCTGCGGGGCCCGGGCGAGCGGGCAGCGCTGGGGCAGCCCCCCGTGCACCAGGGCTGGGCACCGGCACTGCCGCACAAACCGCTCCTGGCGGCAGAACACACCTCGAGCCCCCGGGAGCGGGAACACGCGGGGACACGGGGCAGGGCGAGGCTGCAGCGCGGCGAGAGGCATCGCCACCGCCCAGCACACCTCCGGCCCGGCCGCCCGTGCTCTGCAGCGGGCTGGGGCGAGTCCGTGCCCCGGGCCGGAGCTGCGCTGCCCCCCGCGCTGCCGGGCCGTGCGGGAGCAGCCTCCCTCCGCTCGGTTCAGTTCGGTTCGGCGCAGCCCAGCTCCGCCCGTCGGAGCCGCGCTGCTGACTCAGCCGCGGGGGGGCCCGGAGGGCGCCCCGGCCCCGCGGGCGTGGCGGGCGGGGGGGCTGCCCTCCGCCCTCCGGGGAGATAAAGAGCGGCGGCCGCAGCCCGCCCGCGCCTCTCGCCGCCCGGCAGCATGACGGCCATCGGGGCGCAGGTACGTCCGCCGCTGCCTCCCGCCGCCGGGCCGCGCATCGCCCCGCCGCGGGGCTGCTGCCCCAGCCTGGCCCCGCTGCCCCAGCCTGGCCCTGCGCCGCCAGGGTCGCTCCCACCCTTCCCGGAGCAGCTCCGACCCTTCCCGCAGCAGCGGGGCGCAGCCGGCCGGATTCTCTTTCCCGCCTCCTCCGGCCGGCGGCAGCTCCCCGGGGCCGCGGCTCCCCCTCCCCGCCGCACGTGGCTCTCCGAGGGGGCTGGGGGCTCTTGGATCGACTTTCCTTTACATCTCCTGTCACTTGGAGGGTGTCGCGAGGAGGGGAGGCGCGTTGCCCAGGCGGGTCCGCGGGGGCTGCAGAAGATTGCCCCCTTTTTTTCCCCCCTTTCTCCCCCCCATCCCCCGGGGTAGCTGAGCCGTGCGACCCCGGGGTGAGGACCGAGGTCCGGGCCGCTGCTGCTGCCGGCCGGAGGAGGAGAGACCGGCTGGCTGCAGCTCGGGAGGGCAGTGCTGGGAACCCCCCTGCCAGCCGGTGCTGCCGCCTCCCCCGTCCCAGGCACCGGCCTCCATCCTCCCAGGGGCCGGTGGCTTCCTCCAGCCCTGCCGCAGCAGGACGCTGTGCCGCAAGACCGTGGGGCAGGGACCCGGTTCAGCCAAGAGCTTTTGTGATCCCTGTCCCAGGCCTTGACGTGGGAGCATTGTTTGTGCAGCCAGGGAACTGGGAGAGCTTCACCCACCCTTCCTTTCTCCTGTGTACTGCCTTTCCCTGCGAGAACGGGTTTGATGTGCACAAGTAAATATTTTCAAATACTGAATCCTGCAGCTTTGTCCCTCTGGCTTCATTTCACCCTGAAGTAACACTCTTAACTCTGTTACATTTTTTCCTCCCGCTCTCAGGTGCAGCAGCTGCTGGCACACCGGAGACCACAGAAATCCTTCTTTGAGACACTCATCAGGAGCCTGATCATCCTGTGCGTGGCCATAGCCGTGGTCCTGTCGTCCATCTCCATCTGCGATGGCCGCTGGCTCTTTGCGAGGGGGCAGCTCTTTGGACTGTGGCACTTCTGCACCCTTAGCAACGACAGTGTCCTGAAGTGTGTCACAGACCTCAGCCTGGCCCGGGTGGAGGGGCTGAGCGTGGGGGTGATTCCCATCAGGAGCATGGTGTCCTTTGCTGTTGTGGTTGCCATATTCGGGTTGGAGCTGCTGATGGTGTCCCAGGTCTGCGATGACGCCAACGCAAGGCGGAAATGGGCAATGGGCTCCGTTCTCATCCTCGTCTCCTTTTTGCTGTCAGCCACTGGTGTTCTGAGCTTCTCCATCCTGGTGAAGGATCACCTCACCTTCACAGGCTTCACACTGACATACTGGTGTGAGTTCATTGCTGCCTTTCTCTTCTTCCTCAACGGGATCAGCGGACTTCACATCAACAGCCTCACACACCTCAGGAATGGGGTAGGCAAAATCTAGGCACAAAGGATGAACCTCTGCCTTTGTGTAATCAGCTTTGCCAATTAGACTGGAAGAAAGAGAGTCTAATGAAGTTTGAAAAGGATGCCCTGTCTTTAATTTGTGTGCAAGGAGGGGAAGCGTGAGTCAGTCTTCATGCCTGTAGAAGAAGTACCCACCCACTGGTCAGCATGGAGAGCTGAGCAACACCAGCCAAGCAGAGACTGGGACTGGCTGCTACTGCAATATGGTTTTCTGGAGAAGTGGATTAAAGCAGAGGGTGTCCTGCTAAACCTGCAGAGATCTGGAAGACTGCAATCTATCCCACACGTTGACCTGAGGCTTGCACAACACTGGTACTGCTGTGGGTTTGGTGTTGCTGTGCTTTTCCTTATATTCTGGAGCCTGTGATAACAGCTTTGGTGTGTCTCATGGGTTTGTTCTGGCTCAGGGACAGACGATTTCTGCCTGGCCATGCTCACTGGTGTGGAGTATTGAAACTCTTTACTGGATCTTACTTCTTCATTTTTCTTTCAAAAGATAAGGCACACAGAACTTGATCTGGTCACAGGTTTTGTTTCCTTCAGGCATGTTCCCTTTATCTGTTCTGTTCTTGGTCAGTTTTTTGGGGACATTTCAGACAGAGTTGCTGACCTGGGGTCAGGGGTAGGTGTTGGGTGATGCAGGTGTAGAGGGAAGAGATGTGCTGTTTTCCTCAGGCAGCAGTGCATATCCCTGTGTCTGTGGCCTCTTTCCCAGTGTTACCACTCTCCTGCCACCCCTGAAGGACATGTGCCAACTGGTCAACCAAATTGGCTGTCTCACGTGCCTTGCACAGTTTATGGTAACAGGGCATTGCTCTTGGGTTTTTTTGTTTTTTGGGGCAAGAGGGACAAGCTCTGCAGAGGCTTCATGGGCTGTGGTGGCTGGGCAGGCTATGCAGAGACCACCACAGCTTCTGGGATGTGTTTTGGTTATCACGGTTTCCACTGGGGCAGTGCTTATCCTGTAGCTGAATCTCCTGTAGCATTTCTTATGGGAGGAGAAAGCCCCAGATCCTCCTGACCAGATCAGGTCCTTTTCTTCCTCTGACTTAACAGTGAGCCTGGGAGGAGAAGCAGCCCGTGATTGCCTAAGGAGGGGCTGATGGGTGCAGCTCTAATCTGTCACCGCTGGTAGAAATGTTGAGAGACCTGGCCAGAATTATTATACTAAGGCTGGCCTTCCTCCTGCCAATGTCTGAGTCAATATCTCTAAAACTGCATGGTGTCTTATGTAAAAGGAGAGAAGACCTTATTATTATACTAAGGCTGGCCTTCCTCCTGCCAATGTCTGAGTCAAGATCTCTAAAACTGCTACAGTTTTGAAGTTCTACATGGTGTGTTATGTAAAAGGAGAGAAGACCTCATTTGTAGAGTAGATTGCCCTACACATGTTCTCCCTGTCCAACACACAGGACTCAGTTGCTCAGTTAAAAATGTCTTCAGAGTATTTCAGGGTTTCTGGTTTACTGTTTGCTTTGTATCCACTGGTAAATCTGCTTATATCCTTGTTTTCCAATGAATGTTTCTACATGTTTCATCCCTGTACCTTATCTGTGGAGCAAGGTTTTAGTTTCCTGTGCAACAAGTTTGACACAGTTTTTCACCTGAAACAAATGCATCATAGCACAGAGGTCAAAAAGCCTGTGTGTGCGAGCCATGAGTAAACAGCTTTGTCTTTGAAAGCTAAGAATCTCAAGCTGTGCCTGAGCTGGAATGTACCACACTTTGATAAATGTGCTCCCATGGACTCGCTTTCAGGACAGTCTCCGTTCCTTCTTGGACTTCTGTAACTTCTTCAGACAACACTTCTAAGCCCGTTTTGCAATGCAGGTTCAGACTTGGCTTGCTCTGGACAGTGCCAGTTGTACTTTTGCACATGAATCTGCTCACCTCCCTGTCAGCATGATGCAGAGCTGTGCCACCCAGACAGCTCCTGAAGCTCTTGTGATGTCTGGAGCTTTGATGGGGCTCCTTGGCCCGTTCTCAAGGACAAGGACTTGTACCTGTGCCTCTGGAAAACTGCCCTGTGACTGTGTCTTTGTGTGAAGGTGCCTTTCATTTGCTGAATGGCACTGTTGAAGACACTGCTGGGCTGAACTTGCACCTGCTTGTGTGAGCTGGTGCTGCTGGCTTTAGCAGAGCCATTGAGGCCAAAGAGACCCTGCAAGTTCTGGTCCCAAACAGTTGCACTTTGGTGTTACCAGGTGTACCATGAGTACCTTAACTAACCAGTGACTCAGCTGTGGTGCCGCGGCGTGCCCATGTCAGACAGGACAGTTCCCCGACATGTAAGGGTGTTTATGGCTTGTCTAGAAACATGAATGTAACTTCAGAGTGACACTTTGGTGGCATCCAAACTTGGAAATCACTTCTGTGTGTACTCTCCCTCATGCTAGCAGGAGCCTGTGCCTCCATCTCTTTCCTTGGAAGGCAGCCACAGCCAGACTGGGTTCCAGGCTGGTGCCTCCTGCTCGGGTTAGAGGGAGACTGGACAATTGGCCATTGAGTTCACCCTAGACGTGGTGCAATTGTGAATGATTTTTAGGATGCCCTCTGCCAGCTGAAGAAGAGGCCTTTTGTTGGGGGTAGGGAGTCCTCTGGGGAAAACGGAGTAACTTTTTTTCCCAACTGTTTTTTCTATAGTACTGCTCAATTATGCTGGGAAAAGAGGCATTTTGACAGCTAAATATTACAAAATAGAGTTGATTGTCTTGGAGATTCTTATATAGAGCAACCTGTGCAGCAGTGGGTCACTGTTCATTTTCTGAAGCGTTTGGAAGTGTCAAGCAATATTCCTGAAGTTTGTTAAATAAATTGATTTTAAATAAGAGCTTTAATTCACTCTTTTTATCTTTCGATATTGGGGTACAGATGTAAGGGGATGAGGGAGGTTTTACATAATCTCCCAGGCACCATTCCGTGTGTCTACCCAGCTAAACTGATGAAGAAATGACTGCTTGGCACTTTCCCAAGCTCTGACCAAGGGAACTGAGGCCACTACACAGTCCCCTCTCCTTTTCCCTCCAGAGTGTCTGCACCAGCCCAAGAAGCCAGCACTGCTTTCTTGTCTTGCAAAACAAGAAGGGCAGTCAGCTGTGTTGCTTCGTGGGAATTTGAGATAACCTTGTAGGCGCTTTAATGACTTCCTGCTGTTGCATGTGCTCTGTTTACCAGCTAAAGAGCTCTTTCCTGTGTCCTTCTCCTTCCTGTTCCCACACTGCACCCCGTGTCTGAAGCATCCTTGCTCTTTTCCTCAGCTCTGATTGTTTGGCCTGCAAGAAGTGGTATCTGAGTACAAATGTATTTGTGTTTTTCTCAGAGCTCACTGTATTGGCAGGTTTAGTTAAGTGTCAGGAAAAGAGCTTCCCAGCTACACCACTGAATTAGTTTATGTAATCTCAAGTTAATTAGCACCTGGTGTTCCCTTTCCAACTGGAGAGGTCGTTGGTCTCAGTTTAACATCTCTTAAAAGCAGGGTAATGAACATCACTTCTTGTTAATGAGCCGTTTAGACTTAGCTACTAACTTTAATTAGACACTTGTACACAAGCCATTGCCTGTGGATAAGAATAAGGAAATGTTGTACAGGGCATGCTAGCTAGGGAAATTTCCTGCCTGGACTGTGTTTTTCCAGAATCACAGAATGGTTATGGTTGGATGGGTGCACTGGAGGTCATCTAGTCCAGCCTCCCTGCTCCAGCACGGTCCTCTAGAGCATGTTATTTTGATTTTGTCTCCAGTATATTCATCAGCTGTGCTTGTAGGGACACCAGGATTGGGGTTAAGCCTTGCTTGCTTTTGCAAGCCTCAGGAAGGTGATTACAAAGATATTTCACGTGACTCTCCTCACCTGCTTTCTCTTTCCCTCTGCTGGGGCCTATGCTGAGCTGATAATGGCCCTTCTTCTCAACCTTCCAAGACAGCTGGCACATGCAAGAAGGGCCTCACTTCTGGGTAAACAAAGTCTGCCCCAGGCAGTGTCCTGGAAGGGGTGTTGCCTGAATTCCTGCGGCCTCTCAGCTTCACTGGCCCCCACCCCACCGAATCGGTACCAACCCTTCTGAAACAGCCCCTTTCAGCTCCCCTGGCATTGCACAATGTAATTATTCACTGAACAACTACTGGTTTTTGCTTCTGATAGTTTTGCTAGGAACTTCCTTGTTGCCAGTGTTGGAGAGGAAATCCATTAATGGCTTCCTCTTAAATTCATCAGCTCTCAGGCTGCCGATGCTCCTGCTGGCTTGCAGAAGAACAGGCCCCTCAGGGCACCTGGGCTGAATAGCCAGAGGCTGTCACCAGAGTCCCTGAACGATGACAATTACTTGTGTGAAAGGTGGTACTCAGGTCTTACTTACTGGTAAAGCCACCGTATTACACTGAATACCCAAGAGCAAGTGCAATGAAAGGAAAGTGGGTGGGCTCTATGAATATGGAGTTTGTGTTCACCCTCTGTGCCTTCATCTCCTGCTTTTGCATTGCTCCCTGAGATCGGCTTTCCTGTTCCTCTTCATGTGCTTACAAACACGTCAATGTCCCCAGAGCTAAGCAGCTCTTTTCTCTAGCATCCTTCAGCACAGCTGAACAAGCAAAATCCCCAGCAGCGCAGGGAGCCCAGGAGATGGGGGAGGAAAGAACCCATTCCCCTGTGGTGGTGGCTGGCAGCAGCTTCCTACGGCCAGCAGGAACCAGGACAAGGTCACAGCATCATAACTCCAGGACCTGCCTGCTTCTGGTATCTTCCCGAGTGGATGTGCTCTTCCCCTAGAGCTAAGGACTCCAAATTCCAGCTCACATCCAGGAGTTTTTATGGAGTAACTCAGCTCTTCATACACACAAGGCTTGTGCTTGATGCCCGGAGTGAACATGTTATACAGAATCTGGGAATAATTCATTTTTCTTGGTTATTTCAGGCAAGAAAAATAAAACCAAAATGGCCACGTAAAACAATAATTTATGCTAGCACTGGGGGTTTTTAAATATAAAAACAAGCAGTATTTTTTTCTGGGGTATGTGGCAGGCCCCTGTACAAATAGGTGTTATGCTCAGCCTGGGTTCCTCCCAATCTTGTGCTGGTCCTAGCTATGCACTGCAGGGCTGAGCTCTTACACTGGTTCATGTGAGAGCCAATAATTGCATCAGATCTAATTAATTACATGTTATTGTATCTCTGAATCTGTATTTCTTCATTTATGCTGGACGGAGGCACTTGCATTTAAAACAAACAGCTGCTTTGGCTTGAAGGATGAATGTTTAATTCTCAGAGAGGGAACATGCAAGTTGTTTCACCCTTCTTGGTCTCATTCATAGGCCAGAGAGAAATTAAGGTTACATTTTTTTTTGAAGTATCTGACTTGCTAAATGCACTGGGACAGAGCAAACCCCTGACAAGTTTGGAGGCTCTGCTTGGCTTGGGGTGAGTCAGCAAGGAGTGAGATCTTTCATTCCAACCTTCAGGGAGGGGCTTTCACTTCTCCTTTGGTCATGGGACTCCTGCTTCTGTTCTTCCTTCCACTTGTTTTGGCTGATTTTTAAAGGACAAAGCCAACTGCAAACCTTGCTATTTCCAAAAATATAAGGTTAAAGTAATTCCTTGAAACACTTGCCAGTTTACAGCTTTACATCTCCTTATTTTTTTCCTGGTCCTAAAAAGGTTCAACTCTCCTACAGCTGGGTGACCTGCATGAGCCAAGGAAGCCAACCAGGAGGGCAGGCTGGAGCAGCCACGGAGCTCTCCCTGCTGCTGAGTGCCCTTCCTCTCCTGCTGCCCTCCGTGTGCTGCTGCCTGCAGCACCTGCTGCACCAGGCAGGGTGTGGGATAGCTGTCAGCACTGCCAGTGAAAAAAAAGATTATTTTCCCTGAATCTCAGAGTTTCAAACACAGCTAACATCACTCAAAAACCTGCTTCAGTACAGGTAATTTAAGCTTGAATGTATCCTTCGAACTTCTCTGCATGTTTGTCTTTGATAAAATGGCAGAAGCCTACCATGTAGGCATTTGGTGTGATTAAAAGCTCGTTGGAGCAGTTTTGGCAGAGGGGGTTGGGGAATGCTGCTCGGGCAGCATTTGACATGCCATGCATGTTTTGCCAATGTCTTGTAGGTGATTGGGAGGAGGGAGAAGTGATAAACACCATTTGCTTTCAGTTCAAGCATCTTTGCCCTTGAAGAAACCCAGCCAAAAATCACCCCAGCTAGGGAAATGTGGATACAAAATC